GGATGCAGTGTATTGATAATCCAAGAAATATGTGTGATGCTGAATGAACAAACTATAATAAACACAGAGCAATAGCATAACACAAGAACAAACATAACATTAACACAAGATGAAGAACAGAGAAGAAGTGAAGGCTTAAATACACAGAGGGAAGATCAGCAACAGAACAGGTGTAGACTAATGGAAAAACCATGAACAGATTAATGACCAAAAGTCAGACAAATGGTGACAAAGAAAACGAAGACTAAGAAACTAAGCAATATAGTGAAACTGAACATAACTATGACAGTGGCGCTCTGTGGCGTGGCAGGATTTTAAACAGGCTCCGGAGACTTAGGCTATGTTTACACGGAAACGATCTGAAGATAAAACGCAAAAGTGGCGTTGCGTTATCACTTTTTATTCTGCGTTTAGACGAGCGTTATGGTTGGGAAATCCGCGTGCATATGGTGACGCAAAAGTGTGTGAAATTCGATGTAGTATGCACTCCAGGCGGCTAGGTGGCAATGTGAAGCACTGCCACACAACAACACCAATATCTTAGAATATTTTGTACAACTGCTGAAAAGACTCTTGTATGTTTTTCAGAGCTGCTAGGGCAACTTGAAGGTCCGGCGTATGGAAATAATCTGACATGTTGGTTGTTATTTTCCTGTACTGGCGCATGCATGTGACGTAAACGCGTACGCAACGAGAGCCACCGTGAGCAGATTTGCGTTTTTACCGTTTAGACGGGAACGCGACGGTGGAGCGTTTTTAAGATTTCCACTCTGGAGGGTGGTTTCACTTTTTTGCGTTTTTAAGCCCCCAAAACACCGTTACCGTGTAAACGAAAGGCACATCCGATAAAATATTTTTACATTTTCACCCGGAATCGTTCTCGTGTAAACGGGGCCTTAGCTGGGTGATGCGGACAGACGCCGCTCATAGAAATCAATGGCAATTAATCTTGTCCATGTAAATTAGCCAGTTCTGGTCCTTGTTAGGTTCTCACCAAATGCCCAATTTTTATGAAGCATAGACCTTTGGGTAGAAATCCGTAGTAGAGTCTTCTTGGACAGTTTTTCCACCAGTACACAATTTGGATGTCTCCCTCATCTGACCCATCCATTTTTGGTCTCCAGAATGAGCTGATGAGTTGTTTTGGGTGTGTTTGATTAGGAAGAGCTCAGAAATGGGTAGATTTGGGTGGCTACAGGAACAGGGTGGGAATTTACGAAGTGCATGTAACCGCACTTACTGAGTGATTCTAGGAGATCTATTCTGCAGAGACTGTGAGTGTTTTATGGACAGTATGTCTTGACTGTGACCTGTTGTGTTTTGCTAGCAAGATGTAAGTGTCACTTCTTGTAGCTTGACAAACTTATTACAGCATAGATGTGGGAGTCGACTCATTAGTCCTTGTTTGACCCAGTTCATAGCTAAAGTGTGTTTACTACAGATGCCAGTAAAATGGTTTTCAATCAAATATGCCTTCAGTAAAGGTCCTCTGTCATTTGCTAGGAAACTACTAAGACACCAAAGCTCATTGCCTCTATCTCCAGTTTATTTAATCGGTCTCTGACAGCAGTCCGGAAGGTCGCCAACCCCTCCACTATATGACCTCCTGTTTCCTCTCACTCTCTCACCCTCATGTCCTGAACTCTTGTTCTAACTGTTTGGCCGGCTTGTTATGGCAGGAACAAGAGACACCGGGTCTCCTGTCAACTCGCCTGGCCTACATGTTTAGAAATGCATGTTTAGAAATGTCCCTATTCCCCCGGAAAAATATGGAGAAAGAAGCAAGTTGAGTTATGACATGCCTGGAAGAATGAGGAAAATGTGGATGTGATTTCAGTGTCATGCTGGTGCTGTTATGCTAATATAATAATGCTGTCTTTTTACCTTAGTGATTGAATTCTTTTTTTGTTGTCTTTTTTTTTGTTCATATAGGATGAGTACAGTTCTTGAACAATTCCTAATGATGGTGCACCAATGCAGAGCAACATGAATGCTAAATTTAAGTTTGGCATTTGATGGTAGAAATACTGTTAAGTAAATAAATAATGCAATTACAGACATTCCTATTTGTAGTTTTGCAATCACTTTTAGAAAGGCTGTGTGAAGAAAAAAAACTCTAAACTCCTCAGGGAAAATAATACTAATCTGAAAGGGTTTTTAATAAAAGATTTGGAATCTAAAAATCCTTAGGACATGTTTACTGCTTACAAAGTTTAAAGTAAAAAAATAATAATAATAATAAGCAATAAGATAGGAAATATAAACCAAATTAAACATTTATTCTGAAAATAACCCTTTAGAATTTTGCTTCTCAAATACATGTATTTTATTCAAGGATTTTTTGGATTGTAGCCTAATGGTGATTACAAACAGGCGAAATCAAAAACAAGGGAGAGCTGGATCCATACACAGTGAGTTCAGAGAACCAGAGAACCAGAGAACCAGAGAACCAGAGAACCAGAGAACCAGAGAACCAGAGAACCAGAGAACCAGAGAACCAGAGAACCAGAGAACCAGAGAACCAGAGAACCAGAGAACCAGAGAACCAAATGATCAAACATACAGCCACCCATGAAGGAGAAAACTTGACAAGTAATACAAGAAACACTGGGGTTTAAATAGACAAGGGATAATTGGCAAAACAATACACACCTGGGAACACTGAAAGAACTAATCAACAAGTAAAACTACAAAGGACTACAAAACATGGCGCAGAACAGGAAATAACATAAAAGTCCACACAAGACCAGGGAACACAGGCTGGGATCATCACAGGTATTTTACAGGAAAAAGATTGTTTGTTTGTTTGTTTGTTTGTTTACAGTGAATTAACGGGTTAATTACTTGTTTCACAATAGAATGTTGATATCTTACAGTGGGCAGTGCAGGCCACTCCAAGGACATTTGACATGTTCATGTTATGAATGCACTGAACAGACAATCTAGCAATGTTTACTGCAGGAAGAAACATTAGTGCTATTGGCTTGAAGCTGAACAGTTTATAAAAAGAAGAAAAGCTTGTTAAACCCAGCTGTAAGTCAGATGTTGCTTCTTGGTACTGTTGTGCAAACTCTAGAAGAAATTTAACATCAGTTTCAATCAAACAACTGATTACACTGTAGAATGTATCCATATTCATGTGAAGGGCTCTCATGGAAACATGTTGGACCAAAATTTGGAGCAAAGGCAAACAGATATGTTCCTAATTCTAAGTAACTAAATTTGTGTGTATAGGTTAGTCCACTGGTAGTGTACAAAGGATTTTACTTCAAATCTACTTTTACTCTTTCCCCGCCATTGATGGAATTTTTCAGTGATCCATGTTTTCACTGTTATACGGTAGGGGGCGATATTACACATCTTCTAAGAAAAGAGTACTGGATCTCCGGATCAAAACATAGGTGAAGAAGATGCAGAAACAAGTGGTTGCTTAAACAAATGTAAAATAACGCGATCATCAAAATATTAAACCGCATATAAATAAAAAAATGCCAAACATTAAAGAATGAGGAAACGACTTGATGATAAAAAAAGATAAAAACTGACCATTGCAAAATAAGAAAACAACACACACTGCTAAAAGTGAACCAAAAATAAGGGAAGTTTTGGGGGTGTTGATGGACTCGATCTACATCTGTGTTCTGATCATCTTTCTGAATCCGATCTGGATGTAGTCTTTGACAAAAATGCGTTTTTCTCAGCTTTTTTTTTTTTGCTGAAAATGTTGCTTTTTTTTAACTTACCCATATTTAAGTTTTTTTTTTTTTAAAGGATGCGAAAAGGAAAAAGGAAAGAGTTAAATGGAACACTTACAAGTTTACTACTGCATTGATATTAGTATACTTACTACATTAAGTAGGCCTATACTTAAAAACATATTTGAGCATTATTTCTAGACTTCTTTTTCGTAAGGGTTGGCATTTTAGATTAGATTGAAATACTGTAGCAGGTGCTGTATATGGATCACAAGTGCCCAATACTTGCATTTTGTTCAGATATTTTAGTTTTTCTTCTTTTGAGAGATGATAAACATGTGTGGCTTAAAGCAAACCTGTGCTGCAGTTTTGTAGATGTTTTGCCCTCTGAAAACTTTCAATTATAGGAGTGTGAATTTGCCTTTCCTTCTGCTTTTCACTTTTGTTTTTTTTATCAGCGATTTCTTTTAGCATCACGTTTTTGTGGAAGTGCTCAATGTGTGTTGATGAACAAAGAAATAAAGAAAGTGTAAAAATACAAACCAAAATAGTGATTCATACAGTAAGTCAGACAATGCTACTTCTCTCATTAAAATGTGCTAATGAGATTTAGGGTGGAGGTCAAGATTATCAGTGAATAATTATTCAAATGTTCAGCTGATTTGATATTCTGCATTTGGTAAACGTGTGTACAGCCAAACAGCCTAAAGTTAAATAATTTAAAATCGTAATCACATGAAGGAATCATGTATTCATTAATGTGCATTATGCATTATCTCAAAAGACAATTTTGGTTTATGTAACATATTTTTTTACTGTGGAGTAAATCATGCATGTTATAGGCTACAATATTTCTAGCCAGTGTGTATGTGTGTGTGTGTCTAGACACTTTTGACCAGTTGGCATCAAGGTAATTTGTGTGGTGCATAAAGTCAGTTTAAATCATTTTCATATTTTAAAACCTACCAAATCTTATTAAAAGTTTGTTCAAACAAAAAGCGGTAAGTGTTTTCTTTCTAGGTAAGTGAGGAATAAGTCAGGACAAAGGTCAAATATATGACATAATCCTCCCCAGAATCAACAACAGACTATATAATCATCATTTAAAAAGTTATCATCATGAATCACAAGCACATACACTGTAAGAAAGGTAGTTCACTCACAGCTTATAAAGTTTACTGAGTGAGCTGACAATGTGTTTTCAATTATACGCAGCGCGCCAACGGTGAGTGTTTGCATTTGTGCGTGTGTGTGTGTGCGTGACGTCACTCTCACATCTCTTCTCTCTCCTCCCTGTGAGAGTGTTGCTGCTGAGTCTCAGTGCTGCAGTTGTTCTCCGAGTAACGGGACAGAGGTGAATTATCCCAGCTCACATGCCGTATGCGCGCGACTGCGAGGGAATAAAATGAATATTCACAAACAGCCGTGGACTAAACAGCGCTGAGCAACAATCCAGCCCTCTCTCTTAACCAGACGCGAGCTTTTAGTACTTTTTTGGAGGAGATACTTTTCAGTTTTGGAATAACTTTGTTGGAGTTCACTGTCACTACTGCAAGTAAGTATTTAATGTCAATTACGGTTTAATATATAAAAATGATTCATGAGATTTGTTTTTCCCCGTATATTAAGTAGGCTATGCATGTGCAGCAAATAATGCAAATTTCGGATCTCAGAAACAGTAACGCGTGGCAGTGTCTGGCAGAAGAGGCTGAGGAACTGAATATATTTTACCCTCTAATTAATGCATCCTCCATCATATTAGTTTAGTGATCCATAAATTAGAAGATATAAATTAGACCTTTTGTGAGTTTTTTTTTTAAGACCGCTTTTTAGGGGGTATGCATTGGTGCCACCCTGTTCCCAAAAGGTGTCAGACTTCAGTGTTTGCCCTAATTTACACTAATACCTCCCCCTCACTTCCACATAGACTAAACTCACAAGAAGATGATAACATGTACCTAACAAAAGGGGAATTGTTTCATACTGTGTTGTGTGTAGGTACTGTTGTAACAACCTGGCTTGTTGTAAATTCAGATTGATAGCAGTCAAACATTCCTGGCCCTTCTGGCCGGCACCCAAAATACACGCCTTGGAATAAAGTATTCCAAACCAGAAAGGACTCATGCAGGTCAATACACGACAATCACCACGTTAAAGTCTTCTGATGCGGTAATTAATGTCTAATGAGTAGGTGTGTTTGGTCCCGATCTGAGTGGACTGTATAGGATCAAACGGAAAATCATGTCAAGGACTTCATTTATTTTCATTTCATTAGCCTGTGTCATGATGTGGCCACACTAGTTGTAGTAAGATTACACATGAAACCACAGTTAAGCTGCCTGATGACTGTACATTTGATTTATTAGGCAATTCATACAGTGAACGGAACCTCATCAAAACTATCAAATAACGCAAATGGAAATTTAAGGATAAAGTTTAGACCAAAACAAAGTAAAATCTTCTATTTGACCTTGCTGGCTGTAAACCCTAACGCTCAAAATATTTCATTAGTTTGAGTAGGGTAAACTTAAATTAAACAAATTAGTTCAATCAAATTGACTTATGAGGTTTTTTTTTTTTAACTTTCTTTTTCTTTTGAGTTTATAAAACTGACACATTTTAAGTAATCTGAATTGTTTTATGAACTTCTTTTCATTTAGACAAACTTAAATTTAGCTGAAACTGGGCTGGGATTTTAGCATTTACTGAACTAATTAGTTTCCTCTACTAAAAATATTTAAGTTGAGATCACATGATCATTTTAAGTTGAATGAATGAATTGGCTTACTCAAATATTTCAAGTTAAGAGCAATTAAAATACTTGCTTGCTTAAACTTTTCTTAAACTTAATGGAATAGTTAACTTCGAAATGAGAATTGTGTCATTATTTACTCACCCTCAAGTTGTTTCAAACCTGTATGAATTTCTTTCTTCTGCCGAACACACAAACAAGATATTTTGAAGAATGTCGTAACCAGACAGCTGATGGACCCCATTGACTTCCACAGTAGGAAAAAGATACTATGGAAGTCAATGGGGTCCATCAACTGGTTACGACATTCTTCAAAATATCATCTTTTGTGTTCGGCAGAAGAAATTAATTCATACAGGTTTGAAACAACTTGAGGGTGAGTAAATGATTTTGACATGAACTAATCCTTTTTATTTTATGCTTATGCAATTTTGATGAAACAGATTACCTACATTTTTTTTTTTTTAGTTTTGTCAACTTATTCGGGTTTACATTGTGCAGTCAGGTGTATCTGACTTTTGATTGGTAGTATTTGTTTGAACCTAGTGTCGACTAAATACATTCGACAAGGGTTTATAGAATAGAATTCATACGGCATGAAAGTAAAAATAAAGGTTTTTTTTTTTTTTTTCTGCATTGTGCTTTTTTAAAATGGGTAGTGCCAAGGTTTTTGGTCTGATGCAAGCTAGACAGAGACAGGAAAGCCTCCCCTTTTCAAAAAACACACATGGTACTCCATGGCCTCCCAGGTCAGGACTGGGAGCAGCCGTGGAGCCGATCGGAGCTGGGATGCCAGTGCTGGTTCCTGCCCTTCCTGCTGTGTGTCAGAGCTGCTGAAGGGAGATATCAAACTCCAAAATGTGTTCAGTGGCCTTCAATTATAGGTACAATGGCGCTTTCTAAATAAATAGGTCGAAATGGGCATGGCTGGGAGGTCCCATGACTTGTTGATGGTTGTATTGTGTGCTATTTTAATGGCCACCCAGTCAGTGGTATAAATAAGATATAGTATTTTGATATATGTGATATTTTGAGATGTGTGGTTTGTTGCTTTGAATGTTGCAGATGTCAAAACAGTTTAGCTTAGCTATAAGGTTTATTGATTTCTAAACTGTGTATTATCTTCATAGGATAATGATTTGTTGTGGTGTTGGTGTCAAGCTGTTATCTTTAGATTGTTTTATGTCCTTACTGGAGTTTATGGCGTCTAGTCTGGTTAACTTCAAAGACAAGCTCACTGTAGGTATTGTGGTAGGCTGTTGTAACTTTGTGATGAGTTGCTTGCTTGTTGGGTGTAACGCACACACACACACACGCACACGCACACGCACACGCATACACAAATAAATAAATAAAAATAAATGGGGTGTATCCTATACAGTATATAAACAAATATTTTAAAAAGCCTTTTGTATGTGTATATATAAGAGAGAGAGAGAGAGATTTGTTTTTTGTTAATGTTTTTACAATTGTACATCATTTTCATGAAAATTACTTCATGTTTCTCCCAAACTCTGTTATGTTTTTTTTTTTTTTTTTTTTTACAATTTATTTTAACCACTTTCAAGTAAAACATTTATGTAATACAATGGTAAAAAAAAACTCAGCTTGAATTAAAAGCAGTAAAATACATGATATATAAAATCAATACAATAAAATTATATTTACTGTAATATTAAGTTGCATCATAGTAATGAAAATACGATTTTTTCCCCCACTGTGGTAGAGAATTATGAGAGGCGGCGGGGAATGGCCTACTTAATTTTTATGAAAATAATGGCATAAAAGCCTTTTGTATATAAGAAAATTGAAATAATTATGAAAGTAATTTCCTTATGCAAAAAAGAGAAAAAAAGTAATGGTCTTAATAACGTAATAATCTTAATATTAAAAATCTACCTTCTTTAGAAAATATAACCTGTTATTTTCTTAGAGTCAAAGACTAATCAGTAAAACTAGTTTAATAAGTTGCAAGTTATTTGTTTGTATTAAAATGTGTGTCTCACTTGGCATATAGTCTATACAAGACTATTCCATTTAACCCAAAAGGAGAGATTCTGAAGAAAGTTCACGCTGCTCCTCTGTAATGGTTAACATGTATTGATGACTCCAGGTTTGTAAATTATGACGGCTGACAACCATTGATGTGTGGTTGACGTCAAACCTGGTGTATTGGATCTTGACCATCTCATATTTGGTATGTTCCTCGTGCAAATCCATTATTATACGACTTGGAATACAGTCATATAGACTTATTTTATGATACTTTTATGCTGCTTTTTGTCATTTTTGGAGCTTGAAAGCCCCTATATCCATCCCAGGGTTATTATTGTTTACTAAAACAAACTATTCCTAAAACTAAAATTAAACAAAAATAAATTAAACCTAAATAGTAATACTAATGACAAAAGCACAAGAAAAAACACAAATTAAACTCAGAATAAGACAAAAGCTAATCAAAAAATAATATTATTATTACTATCGAAACTATAATATTATAAAATAAGACTAAACATCCATTCCACTTTCATTTAGCTTTTTAAGAGTAGTCAGGGCATTTCTATTTTCCTTTTCGTTTCATTAAGAGTCGTTTCATATAGTCATATGGGTTTTGAATAAATGAAGACAGACTTTTCAATTCTAGATGAACTATTTCTTTAATGGAGACAGATGGATACTTTACAGGATTGGTTATGAATTCCGCAAAAGTATAACCTCAAAACTTACCACAAAATCGAACCCCCGTGACCTACTCTGAGCAAAAACTGAGCACTTTTATGTCAGGGAGTAGTCATTTGGAAACCACTATAGCTTAAAAAAAAAAGGAGCGCAAAACAATTACCCCTGAGTGATGGGAAAAATTCGAAATAATCATTTATCCCATTTCCTTCATCCAAGTGAAATTTCCAAATGTTAATCATTGTGTTTCATAATGATTTAGGCAGCCATCTTGTGGGAGTCATTCGGTCTGATGATTGTTTTGCAAGGTTTTATAGCTTCCAGGACCAGATGCTTCCTATCCAGGTTTAAACACTGTTCTGCCATGACATTCCCTTAATTCAGGGAGATAATGCCACCATACACAGCTAAATCAACTTCTAGGTTGATTGCATTCACCAAACAATTCCCATGTTCAGATCTAAAAATGATTGAACCATGAAGATCCAAATGTAGATTCCATTATCTGGGCTTTCTGAAGAACTGGAGGATTGTATGCTTGAATTGGTGTGCTATCTCACTATACACAGTACAGGGCTTCCATGTCAACATTTCCAAATACAACTGCTATTTCGAAGAAGATATGAAGGACCTTATTAGGTGTTTACAGTATTTGTGAAATTAGTTTGAATAATTGAAAATATCTGAGTGCGTTAAGTTTGTTTGTTTTGAATCTTTTATGGTTTTATTACAATCGTCCATGTTAAGGTTTGTTGGTTTTGACAGTGACTCACATTATGGCGGACACATGTTATTTTCGAGTCAATCCTATACAAATCAGTCTGAACGATTAGACTATAGCAAATCTGTCTGCATCTATGGAATTGATTCCGATTGGTGATGCATTTTGAATTTTGATTTCTTGTCTGTTTGTTGAAAAGCATATTTTAGGGTGATTTTTACATTTGGTTTAATTGTCATGCTATGTCCCTGTGTAATGGCCTACAACTCATTTGATGTACTCATTGAAACTCATGCAATGCAATTCAAATATTAACAGTTTTGATTGGATTTGGATTTGATTATTTCAAACCGAGATGAAATGTAAACACAGTAACTCTGCATCAGATAATTGAATGTATGGA